AGAGAGAGCCCAGCATAGTTAAAACCTTATAGATACATATGCACATGCAGTGACTCCTCAGGGTGACTAAGAGTTCGAAGCGCGGTAGTCGTCGCGCTGCGCATGTGCGAGATATATGGGTCTCATATAAACAAAGACGGCAATTTTGACTGTTGCGCTGATCAACGAGTACGAACTGAGACGTTTCCAGGCTTTAATTAGGTAATTGTCATGTGATTGGAAGGTATCGAAAGAGTTACCAGTGGTAAACAGTGCATAACGCGCCCAGGTCAAACCTTATACAAAATTTGCACATGCGCAGCGCACCGACTACCCCACTTTAATCTGGTTTGATTTTATTTGGCTGAGAGGATTTACTAAGTCTGGAGGTAGGTAGTTTAATATGGCAGTGAAAGTTAAATCTGATGTGGTTTACTCTGGCTGTTAGGGTTGAGGGTTTACTCTGGCTGTTAGGGTTGAGGGTTTACTCTGGCTGTTAGGGTTGAGGGTTTACTCTGGCTGTTAGGGTTGAGGGTTTACTCTGGCTTTTAGGGTTGAGGGTTTACTCTGGCTGTTAGGGTTGAGTCTGGCAGGGTTTACTCTGGCTGTTAGGGTTGAGTCTGGCAGGGTTTACTCTGGCTGTTAGGGTTGAGTCTGGCAGGGTTTACTAGGGCTGTGAGGGTTAAGTCTGGCAGGGTTTACTCAGGCTGTGAGGGTTAAGTCTGGCAGGGTTTACTCAGGCTGTTAGGGTTAAGTCTGGCAGGGTTTACTTAGGCTGTTAGGGTTAAGTCTGGCAGGGTTTACTCTGGCTGTTAGGGTTGAGTCTGGCAGGGTTTACTCTGGCTGTTAGGGTTGAGTCTGGCAGGGTTTACTGGGGCTGTGAGGGTTAAGTCTGGCAGGGTTTACTCAGGCTGTTAGGGTTGAGTCTGGCAGGGTTTACTCTGGCTGTTAGGGTTGAGTCTGGCAGGGTTTACTATGGCTTTTAGGGTTGAGTCTGGCAGGGTTTACTGGGGCTGTGAGGGTTAAGTTTGGCAGGGTTTACTCAGGCTGTTAGGGTTGAGTCTGGCAGGGTTTACTCTGGCTGTTAGGGTTGAGTCTGGCAGGGTTTACTATGGCTTTTAGGGTTGAGTCTGGCAGGGTTTACTGGGGCTGTGAGGGTTAAGTCTGGCAGGGTTACTCTGGCTGTTAGGGTTGAGTCTGGCAGGGTTTACTCTGGCTGTTAGGGTTGAGTCTGGCAGGGTTTACTGGGGCTGTGAGGGTTAAGTCTGGCCGGGTTTACTGGAGCTGTGAGGGTTAAGTCTGGCCGGGTTTACTCAGGCTGTTAGGGTTGAGTCTGGCCGGGTTTACTCAGGCTGTTAGGGTTGAGTCTGGCAGGGTTTACTCTGGCTGTTAGGGTTGAGTCTGGCAGGGTTTACTCTGGCTGTTAGGGTTAAGTCTGGCAGGGTTTACTGAGGCTGTGAGGGTTAAGTCTGGCAGGGTTTACTGAGGCTGTGAGGGTTGAGTCTGGCAGGGTTTACTGAGGCTGTGAGGGTTAAGTCTGGCAGGGTTTACTCTGGCTTAAAGGGGTTACTCTAGCTGTGAAGGTTAACTGTTTAAACATACACGTACTACTAATTGTTAACAGTGATACTGAAGATAAAGAGAAGTCACAGGAAGCCCAGTATGTGTGTTCTATTAATCCTGATGAAATTCCAGATATTCCTAATAATAACTTTTTGATGAGACAACCTCCTAAGAAAGAAGAAAAAAAGTAAGTGATATTTAAATACCATAGTAAATACATGCCATCAATACCACTGCCAAGTTTGGCACTTATGGTAAATATGTGCCATCAATACCACCACCAAGTTTGGCACTTATGGTAAATACATGCCATCAATACCACTGCCAAGTTTAGCACTTACGGTAAATACATGCCATCAATACCACTGCTATGTTTAGCACTTACGGTAAATACATGCCATCAATACCACCGCCAAGTTTGGCACTCATGATAAATACATGCCATCAATACCACTGCCAAGGTTGGCACTCATGGTAAATACATGCCATCAATACCACTGCCAAGTTTAGCACTTACGGTAAATATGTGCCATCAATACCACTGCCAAGTTTAGCACTTACGGTAAATACATGCCATCAATACCACTGCCAAGTTTAGCACTTATGGTAAATACATGCCATCAATACCACTGCCAAGTTTAGCACTTATGGTAAATACATGCCATCAATACACTGCCAAGTTTAGCACTTACGATAAATACATGCCATCAATACCACCGCCAAGTTTGGCACTCATGGTAAATACATGCCATCAATACCACCGCCAAGTTTGGCATTTCCAGTAAATACATGCCATCAATACCACTGCCACGTTTAGCACTTACGGTAAATACATGCCATCAATACCACTGCCAAGTTTAGCACGTATGGTAAATACATGCCATCAATACACTGCCAAGTTTAGCACTTACGATAAATACATGCCATCAATACCACCGCCAAGTTTGGCACTCATGGTAAATACATGCCATCAATACCACCGCCAAGTTTGGCATTTCCAGTAAATACATGCCATCAATACCACTGCCACGTTTAGCACTTACGGTAAATACATGCCATCAATACCACTGCCAAGTTTAGCACGTATGGTAAATACATGCCATCAATACACTGCCAAGTTTAGCACTTACGGTAAATACATGCCATCAATACCACTGCCACGTTTAGCACTTACGATAAATACATGCCATCAATACATGCCATCAATACCACCGCCAAGTTTGGCATTTCCAGTAAATACATGCCATCAATACCACTGCCACATTTAGCACTTACGGTAAATACATGCCATCAATACCACTGCCAAGTTTGGCACTCATGGTAAATACATGCCATCATTACCGATGCAGTTATATAAATGTCATGATACTGCTTGATAACATTTATTAAATGTATTAACAGAGAGAAATCACCACCATCATATGGCACAGCAAGACCCATACGATCTGTACCTTATGGAAGAAGAATCATGAAGACCAGTTCTGGTAGAAAAATCAAAGGAAGAGGCACTATTGTGAGTTAAATTATATGGTTGATTCTAGAGGGAGATGTCCAACCTGGATTGAATGTTTCAGTTAACAAATCCATAAAACATGAAAACATGACATACAAATGGATATAATTTGGTATATTGCAAAACAATTCAATCAGCAACCTGTTCACGCTGGTAGTTCCTTGACTGGAGCGTGTTTAAAGTGTGATATATACTCTATTTCAACAGCGAATACACATAGTGATTCTGAAATACTGATACAATAACTTAGAGCAACAATATTAGAGTGAAATATCAGCATGATATAATTTTCTCTTTCTCCATGAATTTTATAACTTGCTATAATCACATTAAAGTGAAAACATTACTGGATTTTTGTGATTAGTTCAGATTGTGACAAAAAAATCAGTCAATTTTAGAACTACCATGATAAATATTGGCACAGTTTCAACAAAAATATAATTTTATCATACTCGTGAATATTAATTTATGCAATTAAGATATGGCATTGCAGGTGCTGTGAAAATTTAGACATTACTGAATATTGTTATACTTTTATTGTTTCAGAGATACCGGTCCAGGTCTAGGTCCAGAAGCACCACACCACCGCATTGGAGGCAAGAACAACAACGAACCAAACCATTCAGAGAATTTGAAAGAAGTCAGAAGTCTCGGTTATCTCCTGATAAATGGCAAAGTGGATGGTCACCAAGTGAATTTGCAGGCAAAAAGTGAGTCATTTCATTCATTCATTCATTCATTCATTGTTACCAAACTCAGCTCTAAATAATTATGAATTCCCATCTGATATACCGTTAAAATCCTATTATAAACCGCATACCTAATAGTAACTGCGCACCCCCCCCCCTGATTTTGGCTTCAGTATTAAAGAGTTCTCAACAAAAATTGAAAACGTGAAAAGTACCTAATACTAACCGCACCCCCAATTCAACAAGACCGTGACGGACTTTGTTTCGACCAGCTGGTACATTGTTCCTAATCCTATTCATTTGTTTCAGCAACGTGCCTAAAATATTCACACCTCTTTATTGTTCAGTGTTAGGATGTCAAACACGCAGTGAAACTGCTTTTGTCTTGTGATAACGTTTGTCAATACTCCTTATGAATACGTCCGTGTGTCGCAAGTTTTCGACAGTGAGCTGTTCTCACCGAAAAACTGTTAAATTCTTTTTCAATGCTCAGTTTATCATTCGAAAACAACTAATTTCGTGATTTAAAAAAAAGTCATGTCGTTTTCCCATGAAAATCAAAGCCAAAAGATCGCACTACATTATCGGTAAATCGCTTCCGGGTTTCGTTCACCATGAAGTCGGTGACTTGCATTAACATATTTAAATGACTAAGGTAATTTGAATACGTGGGCACCATCCAGCATTTTGATTGGTTAATTAGCGACTTGACCTACCCGGTCAAGTACTGTCTCGTGTGCATTCAAACTACATAGCGGAAGTCGTGTCGCTTCGATCGTTTACATGTGACTGAAATAATTCGCTTACGGTGAAACTAAGTTGAATTTTACTTGCATTTGATAACAATTCAACGAATTTATTTTTCGTGCGCTATTATAATCACTACTGAGTAATAATCAACAATTTCAACAGTTCGAAAACAAGTAAGTTATTCACTTGTGAGCATGGCTTCGAAGGATTGCGTTACCGTACCCACGGTACTGTACTTTTTTAGTGCCGTACCATGATCATTTTCTATTAAGCAATGCATTAATGTTTGTTTTTATTTGAAACTCTTGTCAGAATATACTTTCCGTTACGAAGAAAATAAAAATAAATGCATATTACATTAAATATACAGAGTATTGTTTTTTCATGTGAATAGTTTTTTTGTGACGTGACGCTTATCACTCTTCCCTGACATCTAAATTGGAGTTACGCTTATATTCAAAAGATTGTGCGGTGTATTGCATGTTTTGTGCGAGTGATGTGGGAAAAAAATGACCACGCCCATTTAGTGATTCCAATATGTCCCTAATATAAACCGCACCCCGAACTTGAGCTGTTGATCCCAATTTTGTATTTGATACATTGTTATATAAACCGCGGTTTATAATAGGATTTTAACGGTAGTTCAAATGGGGACTTATGTTTTAGGTTATGTCTATCAAAAACTGTTTATCAGGCATGCCTGGGCTGATTTTATTCAAACTTGATGATCAGTTACCTTGTGTGAGTCTTTGTCATCAACTTTGCACTAAATTAAATATCACAGAAAATACTTGCTTTGAAGAAATTTGAAGAAACGACAACCTTGTTGATTTATTTGTTTCAGAAAAGATGAACGAGAAGGTACGAATAGAGAAAGCAAGGACGAGGAGAGGAGACATAAACACAAGAAAGAAAAACACAAAAGCAGGTACAGTGAAAACTAGAACAGACCTTGAAAACTGTCTAAAGTGAACACTTGTAGAACACAGTGAAACCTGTGTAAAGCAAACACAGTGAAACCTGTGTAAAGCGAACACTGGTAGAACACAGTGAAACCTGTGTAAAGCGAACACTTGTAGAACACAGTGAAACCTGTGTAAAGCGAACACTTGTAGAACACAGTGAAACCTGTGTAAAGCGAACACTTGTAGAACACAGTGAAACCTGTTTAAAGCGAACACTTGTAGAACACAGTGAAACCTGTGTAAAGCAAACACTTGTAGAATAGACTGAACACTTGTATGACACAGTGACCTGTGTAAAGCGAACACTTGTAGAACACAGTGAAACCTGTGTAAAGCGAACACTTTTAGAATATACAGTGAACACTTCTATGACACACAGTGGGACAATACCTGCAACTCATTATTTTTCGCAATTTCTTCGAATAACTCACTAATGTTGTTGCTTTGAATAATATTTTGAGTATTATTTTGTTTAACAAATATTATTATTATTGAAAAGACATTACTGAAATATTATTTCATCATTATTTTCTTTAGATCCAAACACAAGAAAGGTCACAAACACAAGAAAGACTCAAAGAAACACAAGAAACACCGTGGAGGGTCAGATAGAGAAAGCTCTCCGATGGATGCCTCACCTTCTAAAGAGAGAATGTCGACAAGATCCGATTCTGGTTCGCAATCACAAGAAATGAATGGAAAGGAGGGAAAGAAAAAGTGAGTTTCGGTGTTTAAATAAAATTACTCATTAAAAATGATCGATAGATGAATTTAAAACACAAACATACCCATGCAACACAGAACAGTAGCATGTAATCTACCGTATTACCCCGGGCACACGCCCCTCCCTGGGCAAGCGCCCACCCCCTGTTTTCACATAAGTTACATGTTGGGGACATCCTCGGTTAAACGCCCAGGGTGATTTTTAGCCAAGAACGGGGTCAACAATAAAGTTTTATTTGTCAAAAACGAACGCGTTTGATTTATTTAAATAGTGTGTTTGTTACGGTAGTTCTCTTTTTGGAGTATGTGGTGGCCCTGAAAGGGGCCGTTTTGTTTGTGTTTTTACGTAAAAACTCATTGGAACTTAACGACGTAAGATGAACCACATATCTTCATTCACGATAAATCCAATATTGCAATAATCCATACCTTGGTGAGTGGTTTGAAGCACTTAGCTTTGGTTTCAAAACGTAGCACTTTGCTGACTGTGAATCCATAACGGAAGAGTATCGCCAAGCAATGGACGCGGGGCATTTTGGCAACGACCGCAAACGTATCCGTGTCCAGCCATTGGTTGGCCACGTAGAGGTCAAAATACGTGTTCTATTTTTACGCGTTCAGTTTGGCTCTTCCGTTTCACCCCCTCCAGAATGTTCTACTTTAGCAGTCTAATCGCAGGTTTTTCAAAAAACGTCGAAAAAACACAAGATAGAGAGTAATTTCTTTATTACAAAAATGCTGAAAAACCGCGAGTTTTTGCCTTAGTTATTTTTTTTATTGGCGAAAAACTGCGAACTTGGCAA